TGGGGGCTGAATAACTCCGGCAGGTTATAAGGGCTGAGACACCATCCACAAGGTGAAGCTGACCTTGAGGTGGTTTGTAGATGAAGGGGGGTTCACGCAGTACATTCACATAGGCGTTTACAAATACGTAGCCGAAGGAATTGGAGGCATTGCATTGAATCACCGCGATGTCATCCACAGTGAGATTTTTCAGAAACATGGACTATTTGAGGAAAGAAAATAAAAAAATACGATGCCACCGTCGTCGTGTTAAATGAAACGGAACAAGGCCCACTCAATTCAGCACTTTACTCTGGGGGAAGTGAACGATATTCAACTTCTGAATCAGGATCTATACAGAAGGAGACGCGCATGACTTGTCCTCTAAGACTGAACGTATCCAAGACTTTATAGAAGGTTGACTAACCTATGGATACCAGTTAATTCTACTAGACTTGCATTTAACTTGCATTGAACTAAACGGCCACCAATCTTCGTCAGAATCCATTTTCAAGAGAAATTACTTTTTATGATTTGCTTATTGGTCTCTTACCTTGAAACAAAACCGAAGCTTTTACAGCCACTGGCCGATGTCAGGAAATATTAACTGAAACTCTGAACTGTGTTTTCGATTGGGAAAGAGTACTAGAGTAGCCTTCCAATACTGAGTATCATGAGCGGATATCCCATAATACTGCAAACACGTCAGAAGGCCGGCTTTTTAATGCAAGCCCTTTCGGCCGCCTGCGAAAACACAGTCAAAAAATTGACTGCTTACTTATTGTGCAGTTTTTCCATTGATCGTTAATACTCTCATTAATTCAAATACATTGCATAGAAAAGATGATTTAAATTGTCATTTCGTGTACGCATTCGATAGCCACTCACGAATTCTTTAAATTTTGCATTCAAATAAAGGAAATATTTTGAATTAAGAAGAATTTCCGTTAGGGCTTTCTTGTGAAGCTGCCTATAAAAGAAGTCTCCCGCCCAAGTTTCTTACAAAATAGGCGGCTATAGGGGAATTAAAGGGGTGAGATAAACTAGGGGTAGTTTTGGTGCATGTAGAATACGCAAGAACAAAGAAATTAAAGAAGCTTGTAATTGATTTACTTAACTGGAAAATGTAGGTCAAAAAGGTTTATGAAGGGCAAGAAAGACCGAAAAGGAAGTCTGTATCCCAAGAAAACTATTAGAGCAACTCCTATTAGTTAATAAAGGAAGCCCATAGATCAAGAAAACTATCAGAGCAATTTCTTTTGTCATTAGGCGACCTCACAAGAACTTGCCCT